CATTATTGGGTCAATCTTCGGTTCATCACAGGACGCACTGGTTTGAAGAACTAGGGTCGTCACAATACAATTCTATATAAGCATAACTAACTTAAAACAAATAATTTAAGTAAACAATTAAACACATACCATCAAGTCAAATAACAACATAGCCACTTAATCCATTAAAATGCACAAAAAATAAAAATTAAATTCCAATTATATCTTTTTGAAAACTAGGGGTATTACACAAGTCATGAACAATTATACAAAGATTACCTATATATATATATATATATATAAGACTGAAGAGAAAAAAACCTGACTGCCATGTGCTTGATTCATTGAACTGCTCCCGACTTCTATCCTCTGCAGGCCTAATCTTTGACCCCTTTGTATTCTAACTGTTCCAGCCCTTTGTAGACCATCTGAGAGACCCTTTTTATGGAAAAAGTAACATATTTAGTTTATATATTCCATTATATATAAGTAAAAATAAGTTTAAACATAGTATTTATACCTGACTGCCAATTCTTCCAGCCTTTTGCAGACCTTTTAAAGTATGCTCAGAATCTCCAAACCTGTTCCTAACAAATAAAGTTGTCCTGGGAATTTGTGGTCTTCCCCCTTTACTTACTATTTCTGTTGGTGGAGCTGGATCATTCTTATAATTTCTAGAATTGTGTCCAATAATTAAGCACTTTTTATACCTTATTTTTTCCCTTTGTACTCTAACTGACTTACTAGAACTACCTTCAGTTGCAGCCTTTTTCCTTGCCTTTTTTAGCCTATCATCTTTCTAATAATTGGTGGGTGAACTGGTCCTTTTTCTAGAATTCACCATTTTCCTCAATGACAATGGCTTTATCACATGTGCATAGGCTATGAGGTAAGTTTCCTTATGGTAATATGGATCCACATAGTCCTCAACATTATACCTTTTATAAATTATGGCTGCTACTGTATGTATGCATAGAACACCCCTTATCCGTCATTCATTACATGAACACATTTTCTATCCTAAGTCCACAGCCTCATTCAACCCCTTACTGTCAATCTCAAACAACCCATTCCCTAAATTATGGATATAGCACTTATTTGCCTTAAATTTTGTTTTCTCCAATTCATCTTGCACCTTAAGATATAAAACTCCTTCATTCCTCTCCATCATCTCTCTATTCTCTTGGATTCTCTTCATCAAATACCTACATACCATCTTAAACATGTAAATAATTGGTTTTTCCCTAACTTTTTTTAGCTAACTATTCCAGCTTTCATACATGTTGTTGCTATTCAAATCATATTTTGAATAAAGAGAAAAACCACATTTTGACCACAAGTTCAATGGGATTTTATCCAACCAAGCATATGCATCAGCATTGAGTCTCTTTATGGATTTCATGTGAATCTCAAAGTCCTCTACTGTGTATGCATTTGCAGTATTCCACACCTCCATTTTTAGTTCTAAATAGTTCCACTTCTTTTTGAAGTTCTCATAAATACACCTTACACAAAACCTATGGTCATTGTCATCTGTAAGCTGCTCTAATGAATCAATTAATCCCTGTAATAGCAGTAATGAAATTTGTTTGCATGATCAACGATAAAGAAAATAATATAAATTGACGACAGAAATGATTGCAATGACACCTTCTGCCTATTAGAGATGAATGTGATTCCAGTGGGGGGACCAATGATTTTCATCAGCTCATTAAGAAACCATGTCCATGTTGATTTGTTTTCGGCCTCCACCACTGCCATAGCAATTGGAAAGTAGCTATCATTACCATATCTTCCAACAGCACACAGTAACTGCCCTTGGTATTTGGTTTTCAAAAAACACCCATCTAGGCCTACAAAAGGGTCTACACCCTTTTTTATAGCCCCTTCACATTGCATTAAGGCAAAAGAAAAACCTTTTAAATCTGATATTACCTTCAATATCAAGCTCTGTCTCAATCTTTATCACTTCCCTAGGATTAGTGGTCATTAGTAGATTACCATATTCACACACTTTGTTGAACTGATCTTCATGATTACCTTCAATAATCTTTCTTACTTTTCCTTTCATTCTCCAAAGTTGGAATCTAGAAACACCAACTTCAAAGTCATCCTTGATTGCATTTTCAATAAGGGCACACTTCCAATCTGGATCAATTCTGAACTTATTTATGTATTTTTTGGCAAGCAACGTAAAGGTGGCCTGTCTATTTCTTTCAATTAGAGGGTAGTTAATATGTGTATGTGATAACTTATTAAGCATAGATGCCTTGGTAACACTATTACGGGAAACATGAACCCTCCAGCCACATTTATTAGCACATATAGCTGTCACCCTTTTTTTTTTTTTTTTTTCATTTTTTAAAAAACCTGAAGTCGTATCTGTTCTTTAAGGCATGCTCCCTTAAAGCGATTCTAAAGTCATTTGCATGCGTGAACTTCATTCCAATTGTCAAAGGTTTAGAACCCAAATCTCTCTCCACAATAAATTCATCACTACTGGGCCTATTACTTTCAACACAATAATCTTCTTCAGATGAACTGTGTACACTCCACAACTCATCACTTGGTGCATAAATAGATTCCCCAGACAAGTCCTCTAAAGCACCCCAAGCATCTATACCTCTATTGTCTTCAGTATCACTGTCATCATCAGTATCTAAAAAAACATGTTTAGCAGTTGCATCTTCAACATTTGCATGTTCAACAGTTGCATCTTCAGCTGTTGCATCTCCAAATTCAAAATCAGAATCACCAAAATCAAAATCAGAATCACCAAGTTCAAATTCAGCATCCCCAACTTTAACATCAGTATCCCCAATCTCAAATCAATGTCAGGATGATAACCATCATATCTCTCATTACTTGCGTCTTCAATGGCTACATCTTCCATATGTAAAGCTCCAGTTCCATTCACATTTCCATCCCCGACATCATTAAGTGCAGATATTTTAATAATTGAAAACCTCTTGTACATTTCAAACATGTCAAAAACACCTTTATCACCTTGCATCAATATAGTAGTTCTATCATTGGGATTTCTATAGTACACTAGACTTTTAGGATTAAAACCAATATTTTTTAAAATTCCCTCAATCTCTATGTAAGACATCAAATCAAGATTAATATCATCATAATACTCTACAATGCCATAAACATAATTCCACCTCTTATCAAAATGACCAGAATGATGAAATTCTACTCTGTAATACTTGTTCACGTGCTGCATACACTGTCAACAGGGACATGCATTATAACACACAATAAAAAATAAATGAAAATACCACTAAACACATAAGTGCATGCATATACCAACAAAACACTGATGATATGAATATTCAAAAGTGCATGCATATACCAACCAAATTAATGTTTAAAAAAACCTAATAAGATTTTAAATAACCCTAATCAGGAAAAACAAAACCCTAATCAGATTTTTAAAAACCCTAATCCGTTAAAAATAAAACCCTGATTAGATATTTAAAAACCCTAATTCCATAAAAAAAAAACCCTAATCAGATTAAACAAAACCATTATTAGCTTTTTAAAAACCTTTAATCTGATTAAAAAAAACCCTCATTAGATTTTTAAAAACCCTTTCATCAACATTAAACACACATACGAACATACTGGGGCCATCAAATTTGGTTGTTTATAGTAAACCCTTACTTTTTAATAGAGATTCAAGGACCCATAGAGCATTAACGGAAGAAGTGGTCCACTCCATTATTAAAGAACTAAACTTTTTTCTGAAAAACAAGCCCGACAACAAGAATCTTGATTTTACAAGCCACAAATAAACAAAACTATACCTTACACGACTGACATAATCAAAATCAAACAAAAAAAAGCCTTATCTTTTGGATATATACCATTGTGCTTGGATTCCACATATCGCGACAAATAAAATGAAGTCAGGAAGGATTTATGCCGCTTCTACAACTCGTCAGTTTCAGCATAAGTACGTCTCTGTTGTAGAGAGAGAGAGAGACAGAGAAAGAGACAGCGGTAGAAAGAGAAAGTGAAGTGTGTAAAGTGAGGCAACAGAAGACAAAGTGTGAATGCCCTAAGTGTGAATATATCCTAACTTCAAACGACGATGTATTGACAAAAGGTTTCTTTGTTTTTTCACATTTTATATTATATTATTACTAGTAGTTTTTTTAAATCATAGATAGATGGCTATTTTAGTCTTTTTGTAGCTTCGGTACCGGTCAATAGCGGTCAACGCTTAAAATGCACTAATTCGCACCATTTTTAAAGTATAGGGGAGATGAACAAATAATGGTGGGTTATACGCATTATATGGATATCATAGGGGTGTAAAGCGCACGTGAGCCTTAAAAATATTAACTTTTCTACTGATACCGTTAAAAAATATGTGATATTGATTAAATTTAATAAATACCAAAATTACCCTTTATTAATTTTCAAAACACCCTTTCACTTCCGTGTATAAATTTAAAAAATAAAGGATATAATAGTAATTTTACATTAACTAAATCTTTATTTATTTTTTAAAAAAATTGTAGGAATGACATTTTAGTATTTTTATCACCTTACTAATGACCAATTGACGAGAGGTTCTTATTTGCCCCTACAATAAACGTTAGGGAGTTTTAAAAACTTATAGGGGGTTATATAAGCTATATGTATATTATAAGGATGTTAAATGGCCGCAAACCTTTATTTTTTTAGTAGAGTAGTTTAAAATGTAACCGTTATTGGAGTTAGAATTACCAAAAATAAAACATACAGTAAATCACTATAAAATAATATTAAATGTAAAAAAATTATTTTGCTATAAAAATTTACCCCATAATTGTTCGGTTTATGGCGTATCTCTTTTGCTTGCCAAATTAGAAGGTGGGTGTTTGAATGGTAAAATGGGTGCATAAATGGGGTGGGGTGTGTGTGCTATTGACAAAATATATATGTAATATATGTATAGAAATTTGTTCTCCTAAATTTTACTATTTCATTGTTAAATAAATAAACTTAAATTTTATTTCCAGCTACGCTCACTTTGATTGTTCTCTTACCTTACCTTGGACGACGTCATATCGTTACAGCCCAATCTTTCTTGTAGATTTGTAGTTGGGCTTCTCGTCACCGGGTGGTGGTGGTCGTCGCGACTATGTCACAGTCTCGAGTTTACGCAGACGTCAATGTTCACCGACCTAGAGATTACTGGGATTACGAGTCTCTCATCGTTCAATGGGGGTAAGCCAAGAACAACAAAACCCTAATTTCACCCAAGAACAACAAAACCCTAATTTCATTTTTCATGTTTTCATATTGCTTTCTGAATCTGTACTTATCAAAAAAAAAAAAAAATTGCTTTTTGAATATTTCATTTTAAAAATCCATTGACTGCCATACTTCGTTGATTCTTGGATTGACATTTAGGGTTTGTAGATTGATTGCATAAGTTTCTCCATCAGTCTAAGTAATTCGCTTGAACGATGAATGGAGCTTCATCTTTGATTGAGGGTTAGATTTGTTAATTTTGTGTGTGTTTTTGTATATATTTTTGTCGCATCTGGAGTAAGAATATCATAATGGAACCACGAACAATTAGGGAGTTGAATGTCCTACATCGATATATATGTTTATTCTTGTTAATGTTTCATTGTTAGTTGCAACCTTGGAGGGTGGTAAAATTTTACTTCTTGAAGTTTATATGTACTTAGTTTGCACAAACACTTGAGCTACTTGCACAATCATTTGAATTCCTACATCCAATGAATCAACTACAAAAATGACTGTCCTTATCTTTCATGTCGCGGGTTGGCCATAATTATATAATATATGCCTTTTGACGGTTGATTTGGATAATGAAGTTGAGCAATTACAGATTAGTTTAAACTTGAAACTGTATAATTGCTCTGATTGTTCATCTTTGGCAGTAAGGAAAATTGAGAGAGGAGGATGGAAGAGAAACTGGTTAAAGGGTATTAAGTAATAGATCTCATACCCTCTTCTTTTCCATCATCACGTTGGTTTTTACCCTTTTCCTTTTGGATTCTTCTTGTTTATTCCACTTTCATCCATCAGAGATTTTCCAATGGAGTTGATGATGTTGTTTTAGACTCTGCCCTGGCTGTTCTAGTTTTCTTTTACATCTTTATAGATCACTCATAGTGGCATTGCTAGCACAGCAAGAAACTTTCTTTCTTTTAGTATTATCATGAATTATTTCTTTTAGGCGGCGCAATGTTTCTAACTTCTCTTTTCCTCTTTTATACTCAGTGATCAAGATGATTATGAGGTTGTTCGAAAAGTTGGAAGAGGAAAATACAGTGAGGTCTTTGAAGGTATAAATGTCACCAACAATGAAAGATGCATCATCAAGATCCTTAAACCTGTCAAAAAGAAGAAGGTGATTTATATATTTTCTCTGTACTTAGGTTCATTTAGTGTATAATTCATGCTTTGGTTCTTATTCCTACGTATGAAATTGTTTTGTGTTGAATTAATATATTGTTTACATAGGGCTTTGTTTAGTTTTAAGTTGAATATTTTGATATGCATGTCTTCCTATGTTCTGATTCCTGGAGGTGTAAGTATTTGACACGTGGGTGATATACATTTTATGTTAAACTCCACATATTTATGTTCACTTGTCTTATTGAATTATGGAATTCAATGATTGCATAAATTCTCTTTCTATTGAATGTGATCATATAATTCGTCGTTTTCAACCCACATAAGCATCCGGATATTGCATATTTATTGAGTAGAAGCAAATGTTTTTTTAAATTCTCTTTCTATTAAACCTTTGAGATTACATTGATATCAACTTCTGTGCGACTACTCACTGGTTGAATTTTGTATAATTATATGACAGATTATGAGCATGTTGACTACGTATTAAAGAAACTGTTAATGTTTCTTCATGTATCAGAGAAGGAAATTTTGTAGATCACTTCACTGACTTGCTGTCCCTTGAACTCTAGCGCTTCAAAATGTTCACATTTTTTTTGTGATACTGCTTTTTTTTAATGCTTCTTAGAAATTAGTACAATGAAATATCTTCTATGTTGTCATGCTTTCAGTAATAGTTCTTTCAACAAGTTTAATCTTTTGTATATAATACAAATTTAATATGAAGCTGATCGTGATTGTAGATGCTTTATTACTAAAGTATCTAGTGTGTATATATAACTACGGAATGAACTTTCTAGAAATTTCTCTTCTGGAAAGTGGCCATTCTGTTACTTCTTACATGCCTGAAAGTTGGAGATTTTTTCATAAATGGTTTATAATTTTTGGTCTATTTCTTCTTCTTACTTCATTCGTATATAGATACTGATTACTCTTTCTTTATGCAGATAAAAAGGGAGATAAAAATACTTCAGAATCTTTGTGGAGGCACAAATATTGTGAAACTGCTTGACATTGTTAGAGATCAGCACTCAAAAACTCCCAGTTTGATTTTTGAATATGTGAACAGTACAGATTTCAAAGTTTTGTACCCCACACTGACAGATTATGACATACGCTATTACATATACGAGCTCCTCAAGGTTCTCTTTTCATCTGATCGTCTGGAGAATTCTTCTTTTGGGATTGCAATTTTTGCTCTCATTTTATCACATATTTGTCGTGTGTTCTTTTGGGTGCGGCAGTTTTTTTTTTTTGGTTGTGTGTTGGGGGGGAAGAGGAATCATAATGGAAAAATGGTACCTTTCTTAGGAGAGGATGTAGAACTTGATGGTTTTTTTTTTTGCATTGAAGCATGTGGTTGTAGATTCCAAATATATGCATTAAGTACCAGGTTTTCTGGATGTCAGGTCAAGATCTTACGATAAAAAAAGAAACTTCTTGTGAATCTGTTAGAGGGCCAAATGGAAGCCCATTTCAATACTTTTATTTTTTTGGTAAGAAAGATTATATAAAAAAAGTGATCAAAAGGGGACCGCATCCAATATACAAGGCCAAGTAGGGCCTCTACTCTCTCAAAGAGCCCAAAAAATCAACTATCTCCTCTAAGGATCTATAATTTCACCCTACATCCCAACAAAGAAAGAGTGGTTATAATGGTAATTCCTAGATCTTTGTGGAAGTTTTGTGTATATTGTTATCAAGTGGGGCACCATTGTGTTAGACAGCCCTTAGAGATGTTCTTATTTCATTATAGAGATTTTGGTATTTGTAGATACATTGACTGCCCATCTGTTGACCCCGGGTAGGTCAAGTTGAGGAAACCAATGATTGGGCTAATGCCTTATTTTATCAACAAGGACCAAAGGAGTGCCTTATACCTTCAGCGAATACGTTTAGATCCATTGAGTGGAGGCAGACCTAAAATTGAGTGCCATTCTCTAACACCCTGGATTAGCTAATTGAAGAAACTGATAAATGGCTTATATCTACAGGGACTGAAGGAGTATTCTTTCCTTTCACCACAAAAAAAGAGATGCAGTCTCTTTGCTCAGTTTACATGTACTGGTTTTGAGGGAAGTGCCACAGTGAGCTGTCCACAACGTCGAAGCTGTAGCATCTTCTTGACTTCCAAAAAGCTCCTTTCTGTTATAGTTAATTTTGCTTCTTTCCCTAATCTTCTGCATTTAAGGGGAGCTCCATTATAGATTGCCCTCCAAATTTGGAGAGCAGTCTTTTAACTTTGTAAAATGCCCTTATCCATTTTTAAATTTCAGTGCCATCGCAATATGTACTTCAACATGTAGCATGTGCATCCCTTTAGTAAAATGATCTCATGGTCAAGTGTATTAGTCAATGATGAGATAGCATGTATCGTCATGCGGCACTTATATTAAAAAGATGCCATGCCCAATAGTGATGATAGTAAATAGGAGATTGCCTTAGGCATGTTAATGGTGTGTTATTGTTGTTTAATATATCTCTTGCATCACTTATAAACATGGTAAAAACAATTTATGGTGATAACACCTGGGAACATTTGGATTGGTTTCATGGACTTAGTTGCTGTACTATAGGTTAGTGAAGCCTATGCGCATGAATCCCGACTTCCGAGACATTCAGTAAGAGCATACTAAATTACTAAACCCACCTCTGCTGGATCTTGGGTGTTAAAGACTGGAGGCAGACCTAACCTTTTACGCTAGTTTGCATTATCAATCCTAGCTTTTACCATTGCACAAGTAGTGACCCCCTTCAAAAGCAAATTGTGTAACAAAAGTAGTGTACTTCAAAGATTGTCTGCTTTGATATGCTTATGGCAGCGTGTAGAATAATGTGTTGAACACACCCAACATTGCTAGTATGCAGGGTGAGTCATATTGTCAGTTATTTTTACTACATTGCTTGCTTGTTTTGATGTTTGTGTTTAATCTTCAAGGGCTTCATTGACCAAGTTATTCACACTTGAGATGTGGTAACTACTCCAGTTAAGAGTGTGGTGTGCTGATGTATGGCATTTGATGGGTTGCCAGGTGATATTGTATACAAGTTAGTTACACAAATGCATGTGACATCCATTGGATTCCCTGTGTATCTGGGTATACATACACATAATATATATATTTTTTGTGTGCGCGCGTGGGTGGGTCAGGGGTGGTTGGGTGGGAGGGGATGTGTTAGGGGCTAGGAATTCCATTTTAATTGCAATTTGGCTGTATTCAATTACAGTTGTTTTAATAACATGAGGAGGGAATTAGGTTGCACTAATGTTGACTTAGGGGGTTGAGCCGCTGAAGGATGGTCCAATACATGTTACTCAAGATATTGCTTCATAAATCTTTGAGTGGACTATTTTTGTTCTCTCAACTATTCAATATTTTTAGAAATATTAAATATTTATATATATGTTGGTGGATGTGTGGATTCATGTTACTCTCTATCTTTCATGTTGCATTTGTGTTGTAACTCCTTCAATTGGCAAATATATTGACTGCATCGCAGGTGAATAATACGAACTATTGCTTGCTTTACTAATCTAGGGCTTCTAATATTACAGGCATTAGATTACTGCCACTCACAAGGTATAATGCATAGAGATGTCAAGCCTCACAATGTGATGATTGACCATGAGCTGCGAAAGCTTCGCCTGATTGATTGGGGTCTCGCTGAATTCTACCATCCCGGCAAAGAATACAACGTCCGAGTTGCTTCAAGGTGAGGTTTTATAGATACAAGGGAACTTTTAAGAAACCTACGTGGTTGTTTATCTTCACTTGACCTTTTTACATGCACTCAATTTATTATATACCATTCTGATGCAACCTTTTTAAAAGCTGTGGACCCTATGTAAGTGCCAAGGAAGAGTAAACCTAGCTAGTAAGTTGGAAATGCTCCACAGTGCTGCTCTCTTGTCTACTTGGGTACTGCTGTTTTCAATTGACCCTTACCTTGCACATATTACATGTAATTTGGCACTCCAACTCTGTTTACTAAATGTTCTATAATTAGTAATTGGGTTGTGCACTACCAAGCATGTTAATTAATTAAAAAAAGGTAACTTTCCGAAATTGTATCAAAATATGATTTTGTGATTAGAATGGAATAGTCTGGGATGGTTTTCTGTGTTGGACAAAAAGTACTTCTCATAAGTTCTCAATGTCTCTATTATTATACATGGCATGGTCTCATAAATCTAATATCATAAATTCTAATGTATATTGTTATTCATCCAAGTAATATTGCCCTTTACCATGACTTTCTGTTTGCATTATTTAATATAGTTCTAATATTACTGCCAGGAAATGTCCTTTGAAGTTCTCCAATCCTTCAAGATACTTTTCCAACCCTCGTAGTTTCTTCTTTCTCACCTTTTTGAACACCTTTGCAACATCAGCTTTTTCATGATAACTTCCATTCAGGACTATTTCAATTTATCACAAATCTCTAAACCCAATTTTATTCGTATTTGGTATGTGACCCAGAAGGGTGTGTTCCCAATCTCAGACTTAAAAGAGTTGTATTCAAGTCGCAGAAATCTGTGATTTCAAATTCATCTGCTTGATCTACTCAGAAGAAGTCTATATTCAAATTAAAAAAATAAAAATGGTGAAAGTGGAAATAGACTTGGTTTGGAGGCCTTTGTATGTTTGTGTTGTGTTAAAAAGGAGTGATGAAGCATCTCTGCACCTTTTATCGATTGTCGCATTTCTCTGTATTTGTGGTAATGAAGGAAAGGTTTTTATCGTATTGTCTACTTGTAAATCCTCCCGTTAATATTATTATTTCTATCATGTCAAAGCCTCTGCCCTGGTGAAGAATGAAATTTAACTCCTTTTTTTTTTTTCGATAACCGGGGTGTCCGGGGATTTGCCCCGATTAATCCACGGGACCCGTGCATCGACCCCCCTACACGGATCTGGTAAGGTTCAGACTATGTCTGCGGTCGTGGCCCCAATGAATTGTTCGCTCCTAGGAGGAATTAAACTTGAAATTTACCTCCTGTGGGAGTCCTCTAAATAATTTGGGCCAGATGGACATCACGGGCATTTTTAGGGATGTGTTGGGAGCATTTTCATTTTCCTATTTCCTATTTCCTGGGCTTCTTGGTATGGTTATGCTTGTTAACAACCGTCTACTCTAAAAGCTTAAGCTATTAGAGAAGGTGTAATGTTAATATTTAAACCCTCCAATATGCCCCCTCACGTGTGACCTTCTTTTTGGTCCAACACATGTTTCAATTTTAATTATGAGGGTGATGACGAGGTTTGAACACATGATCTGGCCTGATTTTATACCATGTTAATAACCATCTACTCTAAAAGCTTAAGCTATTAGAGAGGGTGTAACTTTAATATTTAAATCCTTCAGCAATGCTATTAAGCAGCAAGTGTAGATCTCTTTAGAAGTCTCAGTTGAAGTCTAAGCTATGTGTCTTTGTCATTATTTGTTGGATTTTGTTTGTTTGCTATGTTTTTGTGTTTCTGGCTGTTTCTTGCCCAACACTTCTTTTTCTAATGATATTTTGTTTTTGTTTCTTTCTATTTAAAAGTAAATAGATTGCATTGGGTGAGAAAGGTGCTACTGATACTGCCAATCTGCCTCTCTTAGATAAATAAAGTTATTTCTTTGCGAGGTGTCTTTTTCATATCTAAAAAACCAGGTTCCATATCAATTTTTCTTAAGGAATTACCAAAGGGTCCAAGATAATACATATGAGTACCCCCAACCAACCATATTGAATTGATATTATTAAGACCAAAATCATCCTCTTCATGGACGGGCACAAGTTTCTTCCCCAGGTTGATATTCAAATTACAATTGCCTTAAAGCAAAGTCCGTACACATGATACTCGTTTATTGGGCCCTTGGTTGATCCTTGAAAAGATCATATCATCTGAATACAGAAGATGAGGGACTGAACTCTGCAATCACCTTCTCCTAAATTATGTCAAAATACTTGTCAACTTATTTGGATACTGGATGTTTCAAGGAGTAACCTCTCTTTTTTTAAGAAAAGAAAAGTAAAACAATATTGCAATTATGTTTGTCTGGATACTAAGATACTGAATGGTGATGTTGAGTTCTGTTTGAACCATAGTGGAAACTGGAATCAATGCCTTTGCATACTTGTGATAGGTCATTTGTAAAGCTTGAAGTGTGTGGAAGTTTATAGATCTTTAAAACCATGCCAACAATTTCAGCTATAGCATTCACCCTTTTAGTGATGAAATAACAAATGAAAATTCTACTACTTGGTGGAATTGCAGATGTTTTATTGATCAATGGTTAACACTGTATGGGGTTGAGTAAGGAAAGTGACCCCACTAGATTTTTTAAAACAAATAGGGTCTATTTGATATTTATTAGACTTTGATGTCAAGTGGAATCGTTAAAAAAGAACTTCAATATTAAAAAATTAATGGAAAGTTTAAACTTGAACGGAATGCAAATCGATATTGTTTATATGTACCATTATTAGTTCTTCATCAATTGTATAGGAAATAGTCGCTATTGCAACGTATTGTGATGAAGTTGATCTTTGTAGATTTATTAAAGTGAAGATCAATTTTATTATTAGTTCTCTATTTCCTCCACTCGGTTTTCTCAGCTCTGTTATTGTATTGTACATGCACCTGTTGTTTATGCAAGTATTCTGCCTACTTTGAGAGATTACTTAATTACATTATTGGGCGGGTTTTTATTTATTTATTTATTATTTTTTAATTTCTTTCTTTGTTTTTTTTGGGGGGTGGGAGGAAGGGGGGGAAGAGGAAGGCTGGTGATGGGGAATGTCAGTATCTTTCAATTGTACATTCATTTATAAGGAATTCAACAAATATATTTTTTTCCTTCCTTATCAGGTACTTTAAAGGACCTGAACTCCTGGTGGACTTGCAAGATTATGACTATTCTTTGGACATGTGGAGCTTGGGGTGTATGTTTGCAGGAATGGTGAGAGTTATGCTGGAGTGCATATCTATTATTATTGATGATATATTTCTAAATTGAGTTCTCTTTTCCTTCAACTGCAGATTTTTCGCAAGGAGCCATTCTTTTATGGTCATGACAATCATGATCAGCTTGTTAAAATTGCCAAGGTAGGGTTCATGCTATTGCTTGACCATTTACAGACTCTTTGTTTTAGATTTTGTCAATGTCCCTTTCAGTCCATTATTTTTGTTAACTGAGTGAGATAACCTTTAGTTCATTGGCAATTTTACACGGACTCTTTATTTTTAAATTTGTCAATATCATCGAGATAACCTTCAATTCTTTTCTCCTCCCCCCACTCCTCTGTGCCGCATTTTTTCTTTCTAATTTATTGGCATTTTTATGCTTAGAATAACCTGTAAAATTGCACTATCTACATGTGGGTTCATGAAGAAGTGCCTGGGTATGAGTAAACCATGCTTGATGAAAAACCCCTTCACCAAGCAAGCAATCATTTTACTGCTAACTTGCTGTTACTGTTAGCCAGCTCTCCAGACTTTAGGAGAGCTGCAGCTGGGCATGGTACTGCTGTTACTGCTCATGTCTTGTCAATTTTGGTGTCCAAGCTAATGTGACATGTGTAGCAGAAGATGCAACCACAAGGGTTGGGGGTTTAAAACATCTGATACAGCTGCAGCCTACGTTCTGATAGGCCTCAGCTGCTCTAAAAGTAAGAAAGGTTGCAAGTGTGCAACTCTTTTTATAACTGGTTAGAAGAAACTGATAAGAGCCAATACTCACTCACTTCCTCCCTTTTACTTGTTCTGGGATTATCAAATAATTCGATCCCATTTTGCCTCTCAGGTTATGAAGCATAACTTGGAAAGTAAATGACAGACCCGTTTTTTCTTTTTGATGTAGTATCTTATATTGAACATACAAAAAAGAAAAGAAATTCTTTTTTTGTTCTAAAATTTTCATTTCTTTTATGATTGGGTCTTGATTTACATGTGAAATCATGAAATCTTGATTTATATTTTGGGTTGTTGTAGGCTCAGTAAGCCTGAAAAGAGGCTGATCATTATGGTTGGGTCATTGGATGCCTTTGTAGATTTAAGTGCTTTCCTAATGTTCTAGGCTCAGAGATAGGTCAAGAACTAGACACTTATATAGCTTCATAAGTCAATTATGATTATTCACACATATTTGGGATTCTTAGTAGCATAAAATAATTGTTAATAAATTTAATATCGGGCTTTTTGGAAGTTGGCTGTTCCTGATGGCACCCCTTTGTTGATTTTATTATTAGCTTTTGTGTTTGATTTTTGAGCATCATACTTAATTTGTGGTCAACATGTATATGGTAAAGTTGTAATTCATCATAAAAGTAGTCTGTTTGATAGTTGATACATAGAGGGACATTAAAAAAAGTACAGATTTAAGTAAGCTATGTTCAGATTATTTATTTGTTGTGATGCTACTTGGTGATGTTTGTGGATTTAAAATATACTTGTCACCAAATTGGTTTATTACCTCATGGCTTTTAAAGGCTATGCTTAGTTGAGTTGTGGGAATTATAAAGAAATTTTGAAATTCAATTCACTTTAGGTAGATTTTCAACATGGAAGTGTTTCATGCTTTTGTTGTCTTTTTTATATTATTGATTTATATGTTCTACGTTTTTAAATTAGGACCTCGTTTTTTTCCTTCTTCTTGTTCTGTTTTAGCAACTGTGTCCCTTCTTGTTTTACTGTTATCAAGTTTTAGGTGGTGATTTGACAGGTCTTTGAGAGTACAAATTTTGTTATGATGTGGTTTTATTCTATTAGGGTTTAATTGTCTAGGTAATTAGTTTTAAATAAATCAGAATATCTTCTTATACTTGGAAATTTGTTTCATAGTTAACAAGGCTAAAACTTTTCTTTGTTTCCTTAAATATTTTTTGGCGTTTGTGGTCTTTCATGACTGATTAGTGCGTTAAGAGTCTTGTATCTCTTTAGGGTTGAGTACTGGGCTTATATAAGATTTTGGAGTATGGATGTAGCAATGGATTATTCTTTTAATCACTTATGGATATGACTATTGAGCTAGGAACACCTTCCTTCTAATTTATTAAAATTCCTTATGCTTCATTAAAAGAGTCAATATTGTCCACAGTATGAGTGCTCTGTCCACATTCAATTGGAATTATCATCAAATTTAATATTGTTGAAGGATTTAAATATTAAAGTTACACCCTCTCTAACAGCTTAAGCTTTTAGAGTGGATGGTTGTTAACAAATATTATCCCATGGTTTTCCAGGACCTTTTGATTCTAGCAAGAATAGGTTATTCAAATATTAAATTCTATACTTCTAAAACATGTTGATCCTTTGAAAATTGGTACTGGAATGTGGAATGATAGGAATTATTTGCAACATCTCTTCAAAAGTCATGGAGCATTAATTAACTTTCTAAGGGTTATTATTATTTTATTTTATTTTTCAACGGGAATAGTTCAAATCATGATTGGAGAAAATATGAATGTCTGATTTTTTGGAATTGACGTCTAAGTTCACTGTAGATGCTGAGTTTTTTTTTTTTTTTTTTTAAATGAAATTTCAAATTTTCTTGCTATTTCTTACTGTGTTCTGAAATATCGACTTCATCATTGTGTTTGAAACGACCTAGTTCCAATATTAATGTCTGATTTTTATAAAAAAAGATCTTTAATTAATGTTGGTGTTGCCCGTGGAGATAATCTGACAATATTTTTTATTTCTAACTTACAATTAAAATTTATTTTAAAAATTACTTCTAATAATTAAATTATCATGAAATAATGTATAACAAAATATAATTATTGCATTAAGTCGTTGAAATCATACTTATCCAAAAAAATTGATAGTCCTATTATTTAGATAACATAAACAATAGATTTAATATTATGAATTATCCTTTTCATCTATGCATGTACGGATCTCATTTTTTAAATGCCTAGGAATAGCTTGCTAGTTAACTGGTAGCCCAAATATTTAAGCCCTAATTTTGCAAATAAGACAATCGTATTAATAAATATTATCTGCCAGTTTAGGAAAGTAAAATACTTAGGAAGTTAGGTAGTGATATAAAAAGTCTTATGCTTAATTTGCCAAATTCCCCCAATCCTCCCTTGGAGAAGAGCATTGAAAATGAAACAAATGGCTATAAATTCATAAACCATTTTTGTCTTTATTTTTAGATCTATTTTTGCGTAACCTCAGTGTGCAGGTGAAAACACTAAATCTTAGTTTGTAGTGAAAGAACAAATGATCTTATTTTGTGAATCTTTTGAGATTCTCAATTTTTTAAGATTTATTTTCATCAATAGAAATTACATTATTTTTGAGTTTACCAAACGTATTCAGTTCAGAGTTTGGAGTGGGAATCTAATCAGGTTTTGGGAGGGTCTCTGATGTGAAGACATTGTTCTGGCTTGTAGGTTCCCTCGGTTGTTCAGGATTTTTTCGAGTAGACATGCTTTGGTTGTCTACTGTTATCGTCTTGATAGTGGGAGGTTGTCTTGGGATGTGCAGTTTGGTAAAGAGTTTCATGATTGGGAGCTTATGGAGGTTGCTGAGTTCTTAGGTCTGCTCTGTAGCCAAGAGGTGGTTTTTTTTTTTTTGCCGGGGGGGGTGAGGATTAGATGGTGTGGATGGGTCCGCCACTGCCAAGGGGGGTGTTTGAGGTTAGGGCTTTTTATCATAGTCTTGTGGAGACTCCGGATCACTCTTTCCAATGGAAGGAGATTTGGAGGTCAAAAACCCCCTTGAAGGTAACATCTATTGCGTGGTGTGCTGCTCATGGAAGCATTCTCACTCTCGACAATCTCATGAAGAGAAGGCAGATCGTGGTTAATTGGTGTTGCATGTGCAAGAGGACAGAGGAAACTTTGAATCACCTCCTTCTTCACTGCCAAGTGGTGAGGGATGTTTGGGCTATGTTTTTGGTTGCGTTTGGTGTGTCTTGGGGGGGTTCCCAAGATCCACAGTGGAGATGATTGAGGCGGCTTGGAGAGGAATAGCAGCAGATCCTTTGAAGGAGAGGAGACTCCTGTTTGGACTTTTAAATATAGTATTCTTCATACTTTATTCTTTTGGGTTAATGGGCGTAATTGTACATATTTGGGCTTCTTTTGGATTTTGTGGATAGCTTAAAGCTTTAGTGTCGCCTTTGGTGTCTTGTTTATTCCTTGGGAGCGCTCCCCTCTTGAGCGCCTTTTTTAATGAATTCTTACTTATTAAAAAAAAAAAATTGGAATCAGGTTACTAAATTGGATAACCGGTTGATAACAGATTTGGAACTGGATTGATGGGAGGGAGGGTGATTTAACGGTATTAGGGTTCTAACTTGGAGTGGGTAAAAAATTGTTTAGGGGCTTTACATTAAATGAAGAAAAGAAAATTAACAAAAGTTGTATTATTATGCAATACAAATAATGTGATCAATACGTAATAAAAGAAATTATATTATTAAGATTTGATTTTCATTCATAAAATTCAATCTACTCAAAAAAATTTATCTATTATTTTTTGTTAGATTAAATCAGGTTATTAAATTGGACATCTGTTTGATCACAGTTGAATCAATTTGAAAAATCCTAAAGTTAAAGGATTTATCACCACTGGGTTTTATCAATTTGCAAATTCTTCCTCAGTTAGAAATTCGGGCGGGGGGGGGGGGGGGGGGGGGGGGGGGGTTTGTGGTGGGGTGGGGTTGGTGTGGAGAAATGAAGTCATCCAAGACTTCTATGACGTCTCCTAGACATGTTTTCAATTCTCATGGACGCAGGGATGGACCCAGCAGGGGACTAGGGGGGGCAGATGCCCCCCCTGAATTTTTAATATTTTCATTTTATACCCTAATGTTTTTAAAATTTATGAAAATGCCCCCCTAAAATTACAATTCGCCCCCACTGGATTCTTTTTTTTTTTTTTTATAGCATTTTATGCTTCAAAATTTGATAATTTATGAAGATGCCCCCACTATAATTATAATTTGCCCCACTGATTTTTTTTTTTTTTTCATTTTATACTTAAATTTTTAAAAAATTTATGAAAAAAACCCTATTAAAATTACAAAAATGAACCCATCATATAATTTTGTACCCACAAATTAAAAATTCGCCCCCCCTCACCAAATTTTCTGGGTCCGTCACTGCATGGACGTCTCCATAATTTAAAAATAGATTTTCAATACTCCGGACACTAAACCGGAACATCTTGGGCACTCCTCGATATAATTGTATTGGCAAAGTAGAAGATGTAGTAGCATATATAATAACATAATATTTATGATAATTTCATAGCTTCATCTTTTAAGTTATTATTATTCATAGTATAGAAATTGAACGATAATTAAAGTTTTGTAACTATCTTACTCAATAGATGCGTATATATATATATATATATATATATATATATATATATATTTTATTTATTTGTATATAGCCATGTCCATTTCACATGTCTGTGTTGCAGACAGAGAGAGTTGGGGGGGCATTAAGAGACTACTGCATTGTCTGTAGGTTCCATGTCAAAGGTGTCTGGATCACCTAAATGTGTTTGGGAGTCATAATATGCTCCTTTATTACTTTTCTCAAGTCGTACATTTGTGTGATTGTAAGGAGGGCTGCAAGAAGTTATTGAAGGTCAACTGAAGCAAATTGCTTAGCTATTGTAGACTTTGTAGTGAACTCATATCCATTCTATTGTTGCACGACACTGTTATGCAATTATAGCTTTGAATTGTTGTGGATATTTTTTGCTTGAAATACTTGGTATATATTTTTGTGGAAATACTGAAATTTGCATTACTTCAAAACCGTGCTTTTTCTAGTAGAAACTCTGCATGTGGGTTCTGCATAGAGAGCTATCATGTGACACGAGCTTGCTCCAATGAAGGAGGGGTAGTTGTGTGTTGCCTAACAGGATTAGCAATATTAGTCCAGACTTCTTTTCCCATGCTGACGTGTCCATCTTTCCTTGGTTGAAAAGAAGATGGTAGAGAGTGGTTGGGCAAGTTATCATAGGAGACATGCAACTATTTTTTATTTTTTTATTTTTTGCGTCAACTGTCAAGAAATAGTAATCGCTTTTTATTTGAATTACGAAATATCACCTCGTTTGGTTTATGGGGAAGAAAAGGGGGTAAAAACTGCTCATATGTATCTTTTAATGTTACAGGTTCTTGGCACAGATGAATTAAATGCATATTTGAACAAATATCGTCTAGAGCTTGATCCTCAACTTAGTGCTCTTGTTGGAAGGTATCTGAAGAAAGTGAATATTTGACTTCAGCGTGAAAAACTGTTTTTTCTTAAACAAAAGTTGCCACTTCTAGCCTTTTGGACAGAAGATACCAGAAACAAGTTTGCAGCGCTCATTTCTTTCACCAACCCAAAAGAAAAAAATAAAAAAATAAAAAACTGAGAGAGAGACACGACATAAAATGCTCATTGGGTAGTTTTCTTTCTTACTCAATACTGCAGGCACAGCAGGAAGCCATGGTCCAGATTTATCAATGCAGATAATCAGCATCTAGTTTCCCCAGAGGTCTTTTTATCTTGCATCTTTAATACTTTGTGTTAGTTAGTTGGGAGTTACAATAACATATTTCTTGATTTGTTTTGGGCTTATCTATGTGACACACAGGCTATTGATTTTCTTGATAAGCTTCTTCGTTATGACCATCAAGATAGACTTACAGCAAAAGAAGCGATGGTATAAATTCGTACTTTTTTGCTATTTATCTTTTTTCCTCTTAAAATTTTTCTCACTTACATTGTCTTTTGCTTTATTGTTTTATTCCCTACATTAAACCTGCTTCCAATCGCTGTTAAGAGATTTTATTTATTATTCTCTTAAGATTTTTTTTTTTTTTTTTTTTTTCAAGTTTTGTACAAGATCATTTGTTGATAAAATATAGAATACGCCTATGGGTTGTGTTGGGACGTGAAGACTAGGGACGTAACTAATGAAGAAATCTGCAATTGATATGCTTGATATGAATTGGGATTAGGACCATTACCTCAAGGTTCTGATACGTCAAAGTGCTCTATACCTAACATAGATCTAGAGGGATGAATATATGTTGTTCAATTTTTAACTAATAATATCTGTTTTTTGAAATCTAATAGTAATATTTTAAAAAGGAACAGTATCAATTATCTAAATATATAGAGAGCAAAAATGAAATATCAACTAATCACACAAACCTATGTCGAAAACTCCAATGGAGAAAAACCAGGACCTAGTCCAGGTAGATCAAATCTACTATTAGAAGAAAGGTAATATAAACTTACGCTTTCAGATTCTAAACCTAATAATTCTCTAGTTACTTTTGAACCAGACTTTGCATCAGATGATCCAACCTTATCTCTGTTGCCAGTCAACGAATTCGCCCTCACATGATTTGCGCTTCAACCCTGCTTTGGTCTCTATGACTAGTAACACCTGGTTGTTTGTTTGGGTGGCAACTCATACCCCTCAGAGATTACTTGATGCTTTCAATTCCATAGTTGATCAAGCTGGTATCACAAGTCCCTATGGTCAATTGAACTTTCTATTTCTTTGGTGGAAAGACCTAGAATGGACAGGTTGTGAGGGCAATGGTTGACAAGTTGATGTCTGAATAGTAACTCGCTATGTAAGCGTGACGTAGATGATAAAAGGAAAAATATGCTATGAAAAATATGAATATATGATCTCTTTCTATGTGCTCTTTCAATAATATGTAAAGGATACTTAGCCGCAATGTTTATTCCTAATATAATTTATCAAAAAAATGTATATTACTATAGGAAAATAAAGCCAATTAAAATTATGATTTTAGTGAATTGCTTTTGTAGAGAGTCCATCGTGTGTTACTTCAAGATTGTAGCATGTTCTAATATTCCAATCTTAATCTATCCTGGCCATATCTTTCGGGTGAATGAGGTTCGGGATGCGTTGATAAAAAGTTTATTCCCTGCAGGATTGTCAATTTGATCTCTGTGGCCTGTAAGCATCCATTTTTTATGTTTTTATGTTGTGCGAATGGGATTCATAGACTTTGGTGTCTTTCAATATAGATTATGGACTGACATTGGAAATACCCACAATGACATTCAACCATTGTACAATTGAATTCCAAGCATATGCATGCGTAGGTACCGATAATTGTTAACTTCAAAATAAGGAAGTTTGCTTCTTCTGCTAGATTTCGAAAGAAACAAATGAACGATAATTTTGGACAGCACTTCCCAAGGATTTGGCTGGACATGCCAACGTTGTGCATTTGAGCTTTGCAAATTCTTCAATTATACGTTTACTGATAAAACTTCTGTAGTTGATTCTCTCTTGGACTTGATGAATCTTTTTTCCTTCTGATTTTTTTTTTTTTTTTTTTCTTTTCGTTTCAGGCTCATCCTTATTTCTTCCAAGTAAGGGCTGCTGAAAATAGTAGGATGCGGACACAGTAATTGTGGTGTCTTTTAGTTTCCTTTTGTTTAGAAGTGAAACTCTCCATGTTTAAGGTGTCAAGTTCATCTATGTATACTTAGTCTGCTTGACAAGTACTTTGCCTACTTTAAGCGGTTGGCCTGGTTGACATTATTTTCCTGATGGTGTTCTTTGACTCCTGCATCTTTTCCAGAGATTGTACATTCTGAACTCAAATCAACACACCAAGCTCCTTGGAGTGTGTATATTATCTGATATTTGTACTGTATTTCTTAATTGCACTTGGGCAATTATAGACGGTTGTAGTTTGTTATATTTCTGCTGCTTTTGTTGGACATTCCCTTGCTTGAAAAATTACAATTAGTGTACTAAAAGTTGGAACAATTATCCTTTAATCATTTATTTGTTACAGTGGTTCCCCCTCCCTTTTATTTATTTATTATTGCATTATCTCTGAAAAATTGGTTGATATTTGATATGCGGTATTCAGAAGGTAACTGAATCATGGCCAAACTAGGTTCAGATAAAGGGAAAGTTTTTTCTCCTTTAATGTTTGGTGTATAGGGTTAGACATTTCATTGTTTTGCCTGTTTTGAACTGTTTTGGGAACCATTACTGTTTCTTGGCAAGAAACATACTCTCTACCATGCATTATTCTGTTCCACGTCAATATATATGCATCGCTTTGTTCCCTCGAAAACCGAAAGAAAACAGATAGCCAGAATAACTAACAGTAAGTTCCATATCAGGGAAAATTAGTATACAGATTGTAGATGCCATTTTAGAGGATGTAGCCTAAATAGGTAATGAGATTGTTACAGACATGATTGAATATTTTGAATCAAGTTTATGTTAAACTGCCTAGAGGTTTATTACATTCAATCAATTCCTTTAGTGCTTTAGTTTTTCATTTTTTTTTTCTTCCTTGAAATATGCAGTGGGTTCACTATGTAAAAGGTTAAGTTTGTTATACAAGGAATATTTCAAGATCAGATCAGTGAGTAACAATTCTATGTTCTAAGTTCTAAGCATTTTACTGCATAAACTTACTTTGCAGGATGGTTATTACATTTGTATCTACATGTTAAGTTATATTTTTCAACTGTATGTTGATATTCCAACCGCTAATAAAAACACATATCTAATACAGATGCGTATGGTGGGCAACCAATTTTACAAAGATTTTGTGATGTTTTGGGATTCAAATCCCATACAAGCCCTTAAGATCAATCAGTGAAAAGTTTATACATGGGATATTTTTCTCTAATGACATCCTTGGATCAAATGCTTAATTCAAGAGTCCCTTTATGTCATGTCATAAGGGAATCGAAACCCTAAGAAGTTTCAGAAAAAGTTGCACTTCAAGACGGAAGGGTGAAAGATGAAGTGGAAGAACTGTGTGTTATCCACACAAAAGCACCGCACACATGAAATGCCCAATGTTGTTACATCCTAAAGAGTCCTAATCTGAGTCCTTCATAATATAGCCATTACCAGTGACCAAGTTAGTAGAGCATTTCCCGAGCTCATATTCGAATATCACATCTTCAGGCAAAATCACGAAGTCGTTCAGTATGGCCAATAAGAATGCATTACATGAAATCGTCCATTATGGTCAATAAGAATGTATTACATCCTAATCGTTGATGTGGTGCAAAAATAACTGGATACATCATCTTTAATTATTCACATGTTTTAACCAAATGGCCACCAATAAATAAGGATTATTCATAGCTTGATTTGGATGATAAATCACCTCTCAATTTCCATGCTCAACTCTTCACATGACATTTTCATGACCCATAATGGTAATTGAGTTCATGCATTGAATTTTATTTCATTTCCTTCTTCTGTTTTTAAATTTCTATTGGTGCATTAACTGCTTTTAACCAGCACACTTCATTTTGTCTTGCAGATAAAATGAAAGGAAAATGATACTTGTTCCGAATACTCAGATCCAAAACTCAAGCCGATGGTGATGTGTCACTATAGTTGTACTACACTTGGAAAGATAAAATTTAAAAGACAAAAATATCCTTACAGAATCCCAATTAGCAAAGAATCTCAATTACTAGTAATATCTTTCTTCATCCATATTTATTCTATAGTCAAACTATTATTTATTTTCTTCTCTCACATTTTTCTCCATTACCATTATTGATTCCCGACGGATACACAAATACCCGTCAACGAATTAAATAAATCATTCATAAAATTTTCAACGTCTACGAATGCCCCTACTTCAAGTCTGGAATTCATTATTGCTTGCAAAATTTGAGGACGAGGCTTGAAGTCAAACTTTCATGTATGCATGTTATAAGTTGATTGCCAATTGAAGACTCCTTAGTCCTTAGTACTGTGAAACAAACTAATTTTGGAGAAAGACTTGAATGGGCAACAAAATTCAAGCGTGTACACAAGTTAGGAAATTTAGGGCTCAGGACCAGCCCACCTAATTTTTGGGCTAGGGCTTTCACTCGATCAAACATTTAAATCCCCGCGTCGATTTAAACTAGGTCTAGGGCACACTGTTCACCATTCAAACAATTCAAGAGAGAGGAGAGAAAATCGAATCACTGCAAGTCTATGAAGCTCACCACTTTACAGGCAAGTACTCATCTCTGCACTCTTTGCTTTGATTGAAAGAAAGCATATTATATATATATATATATATATATATATATATATATATATTCTTCAAGAAATGACGATATATATCTGCAAAAGTTTCGTCTCACTCTCTCTTAAGAACTTTTCACATCCCAACAAAACCCCAATCTCTCGTCTCTCTCCTCTTCTTCTCTTCCTCTCCAAAATCCCCCATTGCGGTGGCCGATTACTTGATTGATAGACACAAATTTTCTCCTGAAACTGTTTCGAAAGTCTCTTCTGTCATAAAGTTATCTGAAAAGGTCTGAAGAGACCGATTCGATTCTTTCATTTCTCCAGGAAAGTGGCTTTTCGGATACCCATCTCGAGCTTCTCATCAAACGCATGCCTCGAGTGCTCTCTGCAAATCTTGAGCGCACCATCAAACCCAAATTCAAGATTTTTCAGGACTTTGGTTTTTCTTCCAGCGATGTTGTGGAAATTGTTTCGTCTGACCCACGGATTTTAACGTGTAGCGCTGCTAATCGGCTTGTCCAGTCGATTTTAGCATTGAAGAGTGTTTTGGGTTCGAATATGGATGATGTGTCTAGGGTTTTAAAGAAACGTGGGTGTATTTTGACGCATGATTTGGGGAAAACTATGATACCCAATATTGAATTTTTGAAGAGTTGTGGTATTAGTTCCTCGCAAATAACTCGATGTATCTATAATATCCCAAGAAATTTCTTGTTTAATACGACGCGCATTAGAGAAAATGTCAAGAGGGTTGATGAGATGGGCATTGACAGGAAGTGTAAGATGTTTCTTCATGCTATTCAGGTTATTAGTTGCTTGAGTAAAGAGAATTGGGAGTTGAGATTGGACCTCTTTAAGAGTTTGGGGTATTCGGAAGATGACATTTCATCAGTTTTTAGGAGAGCGCCTCTGGCTTTAGTTAGGTCGGAGAGGAAAATTAAGGCGATGACGCAGTTTCTCCTTAGCTCGGGCAAATGTGACATCTCTTTTGTTGTTAATCAAACAGAATTATTTGGTTATAGTATTGAGAATAGGCTTAAGCCACGGCTTAGAGTTCTCGAGGTTTTGGAAAGGAGGAATTTGCTTCTTAAAATGCCTAGTTTGTTGACTGTATGCCCGCTCACGGATCAGAAGTTCTATGAGAAATATGTACTCCCTTATTCAGATGAAGTTGGCGAATTATTTGTGGTTAAGAAGGCCTCATAGAAAGCAGAAATATTAATATTTTAATATTTTTTAAATTTTTAATAAATTTTATTTTTAAACTTTTTCCTAACGGATATATTTTTAAAACGTGCTATATCATATAAAAAAATTAAACAATAGAATATTTATTATTAAAAACAATACGATATGACATAAATTTAAACAATACAATAAAAAATATAATTAAAAAAATAGGTTTTGTGCCAATATAGCTGTTAAGGCACTGTTTGGCTGAGCCAAATAGTGCCTAAAACGGTTATATGTCAGTAGGAATATTTTAAAAATAATTTAAAAAAAAAAAAAAAAAAACACTTTTATCTATTTTTTTAATACTTTTTTGGCCCAAAAAAGCTTTTAAAGCACTGTTTGTGTCAATCAAATAGTGTCTTAATGGCTCTTTAGTTTAATTATTTTAAGGCAAAAAAAAAAAGAAAAAGAAAACAGATGCTGGCTCGCATGTCAGGCCTGCAATTCTCCAAACCAATCTTGGTTTTTGGAGACTTGGATCAAAATCGTCTTAATGGGGTCCACTTTTCGAAGAGTCCATTGGAGCAGTCCAGTCTTCAAATTTAGCCCAGAATCGCCGGAAGTATCACCATTGGACTTGCTCTTAGATCGAGAGTTATTTCAGATCATTTTAAAATTTACAATATAATAAACTTATATTCTGTGTGACATTTCATAGATTATTAATAGGCCTCTTAATTTTTTTATTTTGTTTTATGCACTTTTCCAATACGGAACAATGCATTTCCCATTAAACCCATTTACACCTCCCTAAATCATGTTCAAACAACTTATTTTGGACATTAATTTCTCATTCATTGAAAATGATTTTGAACAAGTAAATATACCCCGCTTGCTGATCTTCACCACGCTTGCTAATCTTCACGTGGAGAGGTATGCTTTCCATTATGGACCGCCTCAAACACTTAATGGAACCCATTTTTATTTTAGTCCAAAGTTTGCTTAATCATTAATTGTTAATGATATCACTTTTTGTCCATTAAATTAATGATGATATGCAGGAACATTAAAGTACGTTTTTCTCAGGTTTGGCTCTTTCCCAAATTATTAAGGAGCAGTGATACATGATTTCGATAGTCGAAAATGATGCCATCATCGTGTCGTCCACCACTCACATTTAAAATCGAATGTGCCCAACTCTGCACTTTCTTGTCATTTTCCATTGTTAAATGGTCTGAACCATAAGTTACTTGGTAATTATGTTCAATCAACCTCAGTTTTCAATTGTAGTGAAACTTTTTTCATTACTTTCAAAAACGCTGCCGACGGCCAAAACGCTCCCACCTCTCTCTACCTTTCTCTCTCTACAGCAGCCGTCGCCTTCTTCCTTTGGAGCTCCCTGCTCCCTTTCATGGAAGTGGGGAGCTGCTTAAATGCCTACCCCGGATGCAATAAATTCGACGTGTTTGAATAAGTACGCTCCGTGGGTATTTTTTTACGCCATTTTTGTTTATGTTCGGCTCGATCTGCTCTTGTTTGTTTCATTTTCGTCTCCTTGGACAAATCTGTTGTTCTCCTCCGGCTAGATCTCTGAGCTAGGCTGGTTTTGGGTTTTTCCCCGCTTAGATTTGCTCATTTTCTCCTTGATTAGATTTTGTGCAGAGTTTTATGTGTTTGAGCGCCTTGTGGTTGTAGTTTTGGAGCGGTTGCCGTGTTGATGGCCAGACCTTTCGGTCTCTCCAGTTTGCTGCTTTCTCCCGTGGTGATTCCGTTTGCAGAGTGTTGGGCTCTGTTTCCTCCACAAATCCGGAGCCTGTTCTTCATTTATTTGTTTTGCTTCACTTGTATGCCTTTTCTGGCTTGGCTTTATGTCTTTGTACTGTCATCTTGACTTTAGGCCTTTGTACCTGTGAATGACTAAAAAAAAAAAAAAAAAAAAAAAAAAACAACGTACCTTTATAATGCTTAAATTCTCTGTTTAGTTCCCAAGAAAATTTCATTTTTTGGCTGGAACCTCTGCTTCATTCGGCAATGTTATAATGCTTAAAGTTTAGACAACTTGAATTATTATTATTATTATTATTTTTCAAAAGAAAATGCATATAGTTGGATTTCTAGGCAGATTCGCGTAGTAGTGCTCGATCCGCTGATACAGTACTTTAGCCTTGGAGGTAAAGCTCGAGCTATGGGCATATCCAAGTTGTTGGCCAACAAACTCAAACCTATCCTTCCTCGCATAATTGGTCCCTTAGAATCTGCCTTTGTTCAAGGAAGATTGATTGATGATTGCATTCTCCTTACTTTACTCATTTTTATATATAATACCCTTATTTAATACATTTTCTCCCTTAATAAATTATCTATATTTAATATATTTTCTCTCTCCTCTCTAACAACTCTCTCTCTCTCACTCTTCCACATACAACCTTAAGCAACAACGCACCAAAAACGAACACATCGGAGCTTGTCGCGGGCTTCCCCGTCTGTGTGAGCTCCGGTGCAAGATAACCAAGTGTGCCCACCACTCTGGTTGTGCCCGAGTTAGACTGAAATTGGTATCATTGGAAAGCTTGTTTCGAGATAGTTAATTTAGACTCAAAATTCTAGGAAGGCAAACTTAACATTTATTTGATATACTTTGACTTGTTTGTGTCAAGCAAAAGACAGAAGCATTCTAATGGATTCCATTCTAGCAACTAGAGCAAAAGTTTCATAATAATCAATTCCAACTTGCTCAAGAAATGGTTAGAAAAGGGTTCTAATAAGGGTGAAAGATAGAGCACATCAAGGGGAACAATAAAAACACCACTATCAAACAACTCTAAAACATGAATCCAAAGCCTGACAAGTCTGTGCCCTCAAGTAGTGTTTTTTTGAGTAAAAATTGAATTTTTGAATGAAAATAGCTCAATCAAGGTATCTATTATGTCACTAGACATTTTTAAGATATAAAATAAGAGTTTTGTGTCACATCATAAATGAATCATTGGTAAGAGTGGTCAACTTGGTAGTTGAACATAATTCCAAAAATACATCCAAGGAAAGAGAAGAATTGGTGAAGGTGATTTCTTTCCCATTAGTTACCTAATAGACTGTTAAGCCCTGTTTGGTTGCTAGGAAAAAAGAAAGTCTTTAATTCTCCTATGAATAGTTCCCAACAATAGGGGATGCTCTTCTCGAATTATCAATAATGGTGAAGGTGATTTCTATCCCTTTAGTTACCTAATAGACTGTTAAGCCCTGTTTGGTTGCTAGGAAAATAGAGGAAGAAAAGAAAAAGAAAAAAGAAAGTCTTTAATTCTCCTATGAATAGTTCCCCAGGATGCTCTTCTCGAATTATCAATGTGATCATATTATTCCCACATTAATTAGTAAACTTTTCGGAGCAAAATTGGAAGAAGAAAGTAGTAAAACATGTGTACAAAGGAAATTAATGGATAGATTAAACATTTCACTAATTTCTTTCTATTCATTCATTCTCTTTTGTTTGAATCAGATCCAATGATGACAAGCCGTTGTAAAAGGATGACTATGAATGTTGGAGAGGATATTATCACTGTTGTGAGATTTATATGTTCCTCTCGCAAAGTGCACGAATCTTTGCAGATAGGGTTTACTTGTAAGGGTGTCGTACCTAAGGGACTTATGTAAAATAAGTTTGTCAACAGATTTCTTAAATTCCAAATTAACTTGAAAATAGGATAATCGAATTGTGATGTTGAATTCTAAATTAACTAAATCGAAAAATAAAATAAACTAAAGAATAATGATTAAATAGGATGTAGAAAATATAGGAGGACTAGGGGTATAATTTCATCACTAACGTTGCACCACCAGTCAATTGCATCAATTTATTGGAGATATATCATATAACATGCACAGGGAATTAATCATGGCTACAAGCACATATTAATTCAGTTAGAAAATAATATAATTTAAAGCTAAGTATGGACTATCTTCGATTGGCATAAACCATTTACCTATCTACTTTACTCTAGGGTGTAGTATAGTTTATCTTTTCTAGGCATAATTTATCAAATCTCTAACATTATATTCAGATAAAACCATTGTGTAATCATTTCATTCACAACTACAAGAAGTGAATGAGTTGTGTTCAATCACAAGATTAAAATATCTAAGATAAGATAGAAAAATATTTGTAATTGAATTAAAACTCTAAAACCGATTCTTATTGAAAAGTCGATTAAAAATCCTATAGATTACACAATCATGCATGATAAAAATTGTTCTCTAATAATTAAATACAATCAAATCAGCATGCTAAGCTAGGGCTACATCACAACCCTAGCAAAGCATGACTAGAGTGGAATTATTCATGGTTGAGGAAGACATCTTCACCGCCATGGATCGATCTCTTCTTTCTTCTGAATGCTTCTCTCTAATCTCAGCCTCAAACTCCTCTGTATGATGATTCAATGTTGTAGAGGACCCCCTTTAAATAATAAAAAATCAGCCCTAGAGTTCCCTTTTTTCATATAGAAAACATACATAGAAATTCTGTTAAATAAGGACTCTCAAAATTCGTACAGGCTTCCAAGCTAATTTTGACAAGGTGAACAGCTGTTTTAGGGAATCCTCGTGAAATACAAAATTGTAGCTCTTTGAATTTCCTTTCAACCTTCGCCGGAATTTAGCCATTTTGACACTCGAGGTGAGAGATACAGCCAGATTACCAAAACGGATTCAAGTTACCAACTTTGGCGAAAGTTTCCTTTTTGAAGAAAGATTTTTCCTTTTCTTCTTCTTTCCATTCTCATCAACTTGTGGCTTCTTTTGGACTATTTTCTAAGTATAATTAGACTTGGATCTTCAACATTGATTGGTTCCACGGAATGTCATCTTTTAAAGTTCAGAATCACTGGTCTTGACTGATTTTACAATTAAAGCCCTAAAATAAATAAAAATAATAAAATAATGTAAAATCTCAAATAAACTACTATTAAGATAATAAAATATGCAAATAAAGGGGCTAAAATGTGTAACATTCAACGCCTAACAATCACTGACCTTCC